CCGGGACAGGAAGGGGGTGAAACACCTGGTCTTGAAGTGGTTAATAGACTCAGAGAATCGTTACATTTATTTCTACACAGAACTAGTAACAGTATCAGAATATCTTCCTGTATTCCTCTGCACAACAGAACGGAGGTGGTGCAGCCCTCTGAGCCAATCAGGGTTCTACTGCTTCTTACTAGAGAGGAGAGCAGAGGGGTAACCTCAGGGGTGTGCTGCAGGTCCTTCATTGTCCAGTCACAGGTTGGGACTCGCCTTCTGTTCCCTGCTGATTGGGGAGATCTAGCTCTGAGATAGACCACTGCAGAGAGACCGCTGCTTCTACTCGGGAGGGGGGGGGGATGGGGTGGGAGGCTTTTGCTCCCTGCTGATTGGGGAGCTCTAGCTTTGACTTAGCAGGAGGCATGTCAGACGTTTACAGAGAGACCACTGCTTACACACAGAGAGCAAGTCTCATTTTCTGCAGCATGCTGGCAGGGGACAGACCTTTGGTCTCTGCTGATTGGGGAGCTCTAGCTCTAACTTAGAAGGAGGTGCATTAGACCTCTGCAGAGAGACCACAGCTACCCCACAGAGAACAAGGCTCCTTCTCTGCAGGGGACAGGCTTTTGCTCTCTGCTGATTGGGGAGCTCTAGCAGGGGGTGTGTCAGACCTCTGCAGAGAAACCACTGCTTCCACAGAGAGAGCAAAGCTCCCTCTCTGCAGCATGCTGGTGGGGGACAGACATTTGCTCCCTGCTGATTGGAGAGCTTTAACTCTAACTTAGGAAGGGGTGTGTCAGACCACTGCAGAGAGACCACTGCTTCCCCACAGAGAGCAAGGCTCCCTCTCTGCAGCATGCTGGCAGGGAGCAGACTTTTGTACTCAGGCTGTGGCTGTTGTCATAATCTTCTCTCATAGGAGCTTCATTCATCAATATCGATACACGGCACGCAGTGAAAAGCACAGAATCCGTACAGATGACGCGTCTGCCCCCCCTCCCTCCGAGGGGGGCAGATCTCAGAGCTCACACTCCCGGAATGGTGACATCTGACGGTGATTTCTGGTTCAGCTGAAGGTTCACATTGAAGGTTTGGCCACACACAGGAGCCGGATTCCGGATCTCTCCAGCCGTCTCTGGTCATCCAGCTCCCGGGAATCACATGCAAGGGAAGTCGTTGTTCTTACATATGATCACAAAAGTTATGCGGCCCTTTAATGTGCAATTATGACACAGCCGAGGTCTGTAGAGGTGAACTCCGCGCCGATATAAGAATGACAAACAACCTCATCCATCTGTCACTGTCCAATCACAGGCTGGGGGCGGGCAGGTGACTGAGCTGTACTGCTTAGCTGCAGAGGAGAACATTCCCTGTCAGAGGTAATGACAATTGTGGTGATGAGGAGCCACCGGAGAGCAACAATGACTTCCAGAGGAAACTAAATGTACAAACTCCAACTTCTTGCTCAGAAGAGAGGAACACCAACCCAGCACAGAATGTTGTCAATTCTCTCCTTCCTTCCTTCCTTCCTTCCTTCCTTCCTTCCTTCCTTCCTTCCTTCCTTCCTTCCTTCTCTCATTGCTCCCTTCTATGGCTCTCTCCTTATTTCCATCCTTCTTTTGTTCCTTCCTCCTTGTGTATCTTCCTTTATTTCTTCTTTGTTCACTTCACTTCTTCCTTTTGTCCTTTGTTCCTTCCCTCCGCTCAATCCTTCCGTCCTCTCTCCTCCTTCCTACTCTTCTTCCTTCTGTCCTTCCTACTGTGCTTCTTTCCTTCTCTCCTTGCTCCCTTCCATTGTTCTTTCCTTCCTTCTTTAGTTCTATTCTTCCTTTTATCTTTCATTCTCTCCCTCCCTTCCTGTCTTTCTTTCTTTTTCTTTCTCCACTTGTTTCTTCCTTGTTGACTTCTTTTTGTCCTTTGTCCCTTCCCTCTGCTCCTTCCTTCCTTCCTCCCTTCCATTGCTCTCTCCTTATTTCCATCCTTCTCTTGTTCCTTCCTTCCTTCTTTACTTCCTTTCTCCTTGTGTATCTTCCTTTCTTTCTTCTTTGTTCAATTCACTTCTTCCTTTTGTCCTTCCTTCCTTCCATCCTCTCTCCTCCTTCCTACTCTTCTTTCTTCTGTCATTCCTACTGTGCTTATTTCCTTCTCTCCCTTCCATTGTTCTTTCCTTCCTTCTTACGTTCTATTCTTCCTTCTATCTTTCACTCCCTCCCCTCCTTCCTTCCTTCCATTTTTCCTTTTATCCTTAATTCCCCCTCCTTCCTTCCTTCCTCCTTTCCTTCCCTCCTCCACTTGTTTCTTCTTTCTTTTTTTACTTCACTTGCTCTTTTTGTCCTTTGTCCCTTCCCTCTGCTCCTTCCTTCCTTCTTCCCTTTCTTCCTTTCTCTCTCTCTCATCTTCGCTCCAGAAGGATGGCACTACCTTTGTCTGAGTATCGTCCAGGGTCACCATCTACTTCTTGGACTGCGGTGGCAGTTCCTGGCTGTGTTCACAAATGCCTAACACAGATCAGCCCCCTGCTGCAGCCTTTCACCTTGTGACTTGCCACAAAGTTACAATGCAAAGTCTGATCGCTGGAGGAGGGGGAGACTGAGGAAATGCTTCCTCCTGCCTGCAGCATAATAACATCATCTCAGCCTAGGCACACTCACTGACCGAAGTTTATGGATGACTTTTTAATGGTAAAAGTTGGAGCTTTTCTAAAATAAAACTATACCGTTGCTCCTGCATACAGGGATATGTCAGGGTTCAGGCAGACTTGTAAAGTTACTAAGAGGTCCAATTCAAGTTTAATTGAAGATGCTCATGTGGTGGGGGGTTGGGAAGGTCAGCTGTCTCTGTGGGTCGGGAACTTCAGTCGTCTTCAAGGGGCGCCCAGGCATGTGCCAGGCTCTGGATCCCCCAGTGTCTATGACTTACATACTTATTACAATGTATAGAACTTCCATCTTCCTCTCCGGGGTGTATAACATATAAATGACCACTAGATGGCAGTGTTTGCTCTGACACTATACTGCACATAATCCTGTGTATGTGCACCCCCAATGCTGTACAGGACACCGGGCTAAAAAAAACAACTGCTGGGCTAGCAGAAGCGACTGCCTAATGTTAATGCATCCGATTGCAAAATTTCCTAATCGAAGAGAATTTGAAAAGTTAATGCTAGCAGTGGAGCAAGGGTTGTAAAGTGTATGGCCACCTTTAGTCATGTAAAACAGTAGAAAGGCATCATGGCCCACTCACAAGTCAGCATGTAAAAAAACTTGTCTCACCGCTGAGGTTAAAAACAGAGGTTTGGATACACGTCTTCTGCAGAAAATGTGAAAGCCGCACTGCCGCGCCAAGGCACCTCTTATAGTGCGGTCCTAACTCTAAACTATGAGAGTCTCCATCTTGGAGCACATGGGGGCAGAAGATTTCAAATTGGGTGCAGGTTTGTCAGGAGGAAGCCCGGCCTCCTTAAAAGCACAGGAACACACAAGGGATCCCGCACATCCCATTGGCAGCTGAGAAACCCCATGCGTGAGACAAGTTGTTTTACATGCTGGTTTGTGAGTGTGCCATGATGCCTTTCTACTGTTTTACTGTTCAAAGCCCATTTCGTGTGCACCTTACTGTATAACTGGTGACAAATTGTTGAGTGCGTTTGTCGTTTGTTTTGCTTGACCTTTAGTCATGTGACTGACATTTTTAGGGATGCACCGATACCAATACTAGTATCAGTATCAGTGCCGAGTATTTGGGCGAATACTCATGCTCGCCCAGCCAAATGCTCCCTATGCCAGGATCTTCCGGTATCAGGAAGCCGGGCGGCGAGTCATTACAAGCCGCCCCCGTTCCTGATTGGCCTGGAAGCCGGCTCCATGCTCCCTCTTCACCAAGGAGCATGGAGCTGCCAATCAGGAAGCCGGGGAGCGGCAGGTAATTACTTCATATATGTTGTTGCTCATCATGGTCCTGGATGGGTGTCTGTTCCTCCTGTGAAGGTCGCACATACAGATGGATGAGGCAGTGACTTGCTGAGGCCGCACAGGGCCCACACGCAGGCAGGATCACTGACATTCCCTCCATCGGGCAGCATTGCTAAAGGCCGATTGTTACGTTTAATATTCTTTACTATTGCGAAAAAAAGAAGATTTCTCGCCCTAAAACCATCAGTTCTCGGACATTCCATCTTACAGATCTCACTATGAAACACTGACGGTAATGTTGTAGTTGAAGTCAAGGCACATGGGCCCCGCAGCTCC